CAATTCTGTGTTCAGTTGTTCCAAAGACTCCATGATGCTGTGATGAAATCAAACTTCCCTGACCATTGCCGAAAGATCAAAGAAATAAAGGCAGTTATAGGACTCATGAAGTTAAGTGTCTAGATGTCACCACACTTCTTTCATCATCGTCATGTAAATTGTCTTCCACACCAGCAAAATAACTTGCAAGAGTATTGAGAAACTTTCAATGAAGGGCCACAGCAACTTCATTCTGGAATATTGTCAGAACACCACTGTGGTGCTGCTATTTTTGACTGGCTGGTCTAGCTCTCCCTACTGACAGATTTTTGTCAGATGTATTTTAGCTAAAGAGAAGCCATTCATCATATCACAGCAGGTATTAGCAAGATGTCTCTATTGTCACTGTCTTTCCTCTGAGGCACTATGCTAAGAGTGTAGCACAGCCAAACATGTAATGTACAACTGCCTTCAACTCTGAATCTATTCCAGGAAGGTTTTTTGGTCATGGTAGCATGCAAATGCTACTATACAAAAGTCAAAGAGACTCCATAAGCAAAAGTGCTGCCAGGGGAAGGAGACAGAAACCAGTCAGTGGTGTGTGTTCTGCTAGGTGGTTTCAGGCTTGGGACACCAGTGATGTATTGGTGCTGAAAAGGATTGCTGCTTTGGGGCCCTGTGATTTTCCTTCAGGAAGAGATTTCATGGCTTAAAATAGTACTCTGAATTCTGCTGCAAATTAAATGGGATATGCACTTGCTAAGCACAGGTACTCTATAGCTGGCTGTACTAACTTAGTCTTTTCATCTTAGTCCAGCACTCTAACCCAAAGTTAAACAAGTTACTGGTTTTCAGTATGTGAACTCCTATCTTAACCAGTGGAGGTATGCACCTTAGTTTAGTAACTTCAAGCCTATTGGCAAGGTGCTTGCCTTGTTGTTGCCTTCTATGTCTCTTAAAAGTATCGCTGTGCCTTTCCCCAGTGGTCTGCAGGCCACAAATTGGAAGCTACTATGCTAAGCTAATGTGAAGACAAATGAAATATAGGTCACAGCAGGCAGGCTCTTATCTGAAAGGAGGCAGGGCAAGCCCCTGGCAAGCTGGAGATGGAGACAGCATTACTGTTGTGAGCCACAAGCTCAGCCACAAGACTACAGTCTGAGCCTAAGGATTTGCAATACTGTCACAGTCTGCTGCCTCTGTCACTGATAGCCTACATCTTTATTAGCAAGGATGAAATTTTTATTTGTCACCATAAAAAGTTTGATGAGGTTTTTTTTTTCTTAAAAAATACTAAAGCCAAAAGAGATCACTTTTATTGATGCCTGCAGAGCCTGAGACAGTAGCTCCAAGAAAGACATATGAACTGTCTCAGTTTGTTTCCATCTTATACCTTAATGGCAGATCCTAGGAAGAGTAGGATCCACAGATGGATGGAGGAATCGCAGGTTGTCCTAGATAGGCTCCTTGACACAGACCTAGAGAAGGCTCATTTATAGAAAAAGCAGAGTAAGTCTTCCTTAGTAAGCCTTCAAACTGTATTATCAGTTCAGAGTCAATCAAGGCAGATATTATCTTATCTTTGGATCTTTACTCACAAGGCAGAGCAAACCAATACTGTTTACTACAATATTTACTGGCCCTTCCAGATTGTCATTCAAGTAATTCTGAATGGCCTTCATAAAGACAGGTCGTCTCCACCCACCACTGCTTTCTTTATATTGAATCCAACCTAGCAATGGGAGGAAAGTTGCCTTCCTTTTTCCTAAACTTGCAGTGTTTCTGAGGTTATTAAGATAGTACTTTTGCTTTGAGGTTTTCATTCACTTAACACTAATTGCTGTGCTGGAATTATTTTGCTCTGTATTATACCACCAGACCAAGACTTTCGAGAACAAATCTCTGGAACTAAGTGCCTGTGTTAGTATATGGGTTCCTGAGACTTATAGAACACCCTTTTGTTTTCAAAACCAATGGCTACATCCTTAGACTTTTTAGAGAGTCGTTTCTAATTTATGGCCCTCTCCTGAATGCATTTGCTTTTGTTTTCTTAGCAACTTTTTAAGAATCCTAAAAGGTTTAAAAAGTTTAAAGACTAGTTTAAAGACAGTTTAAACTTAAAAAAATATATATATTTAAAAGAATTTAAAGGGAGTTTTAAAGAATAAAATTTTAAAGAGTTTCAGAACTCTTTAGCTTGCTCGGCGTCAGGAATTGGACTAGATGATCTCCAAAGGTCCTTTCCAACCTAAGTCTTTCTATGATCCTGAATCTCATCAGAAAGTTTTCCGTAGCATCATACATTCACAGTTCACTCACTGCTAAAATGAGGAAGTCTGACTCCTGCTGACCCCCACTTCTCCTAGAATAATGTTTCCCATCCTGTGGCCAAACTGATGAATGGAGTAAGGATGCAGTTCTGGAATTAAATTAGTAGAAAGTTATATTATCAAAGGAGGTGGATTCAGTGTCGTTAGCAGACAAACTGGAGAGCCAAGTAATTCATATTGATTGAGCCAGACTTTACTACACATGTTCATTAAGAACATTACATTAAAAATCTGAGGCATACATTTTGATTTTGCAGCAGATTTTCTGAGGATGTGAGACAGTTGCCTAGCAACTTCTGGACTCATCACCCTTTCATTAAGTGTTGTATATAACAGTTTTCCTCTACTACTTTGAATTTAAAAGCTTCACTGAATAATGAAAAGAAGTCACAAGCATATTTAACAATAGTTCTCTATTGTTAGCATAAATAATATCCTCATTTTACTTCCTTTACCCATCAGCAGTAGGGTCGAGAAAAACCAAGTCTGACTCCCTTGTTATTTCCTTGCACCACTCTGCATATGAAACTGTGCAATAGTCAGTGCTAAGCATCTTTGCCCTGAAGAGCTCAGTCTGGAAGAAGCTGGGCTGAGATGAGCTAAGAAATATAGGAGTTAGCAGTTGGATTTTTTCCAGCAGTAGAGTTTAAAGGAAATTTTTCTGCTGGAGCTGTCACTATTGAAAATGAAATTCTGGTCCTGTATCACTTAAGTTTTGAAAGTGGTATATTCAGGCCATGCATCACAACAGCTCATGTCTTCTGGTGAGACATGTCTGTGGCATTGCCTTAGGATAAACTGCTAATGGAAACTTGTCTAACTCTCAGCCTTCAAATGCAATTATGTATTTCCCATCAGTTTGGTGGAGGCAGACACTCATGGAAAAATGCTTCTAAAAGCCAGTCCAAACACTGGCAGTTTCTTATGAAAGCTACTTTGCTCTCATTCTCCTTTCTAAGTTCTTTTCATCTATTTCAATATACTCCAGGATGTGTTGTAAATTCAGTTCTGTGGCATTTTCTAGAAGTTTTTCAGTGAAATACTGCAAGGGGTGATTAAGTGAATGCCCCTTCTGGTTGATCGATTGAGGCTGATCAGTCTGTTTCTCTAAGTCCTTTGACATCCAGTAAGTGAAATAAGTGTAAATCCTGTGTGGTGCAGGTAGATGCCAGTCAGATCAGATTAAGAGGGTGGGGTAACAGTGGAGATTAATTGCATGGCAAAAAAGGAAACAAGAAGGGACACATATATACCATCCGCGGAACTTCCGGGGAGGAGACTGCTAGTATGCACTTAGTCAAATCGCTGAAATCAGCCAGATACAAGCTTGTGCTGTCAAGAGGGCTTGACGAGCCTGTGCTGTCAGCAGGGCTTGGTAGCGTGGAGAAAGCACTCTGGTGGGTTTCAGAGTGGGGCTGCATAGGAGGTACGCTCTAAGTCATGGCATAAAAGCAGAGCCTGCTTTGGCACTCTGTGGGTCCATGTCTTCTATTCCACTAGCAGAGTGACCTGGTCTGTGAAGCTAGGAGAGAGGCTGCAGGGTTGTGCTCTGAGGACAGGAGGTGGTGGTGGTGCTGGAGGAACATGTGAGTCTCATGCTCGGCCCATGAGACTTGACAAGACTAGAGTAATATAGAGACTGAGGCCTTGTTTAAATTGCATCTTAATCTGGGGTGTGATTTAAAACCAAGATGCTTAAACTTGTGCCAATACCTATGTGGGCACTTTTTTCAATTTAATTTGGTTAAACATTTAAAGCATAATGAGAAAGGCAGTCTTATGACGGGTAGCAAAAGGATCTATGTTATTTTCCCTGTGGACAAAACCTTACTTTCCAAGCTTGCAGTTCTCATGTGTGACTTACTCAAAAGTGAATATTCTTTGTATTTTGTATCATCTGACCTGTGGTGAGGAAAAAAACCTAGAACTGCATAAAATTCAGCACAGGTGTATGTTAAAATCCATATCAAACCCTATTGGATTCATACAAAGAGTGAGGTCATATAACCAGCTGGGCCCATGTCCTCCTCTCAGCCATTATTTGCCTGGGGAAGAAGCAGAACCTAGTACAAAGTCAGGAAAATCAACTGAGTTTTAATAGTTAAATTAGGGTTTGCAAAATATCACACTTAAAGAAGCGTGAACTCCAAATCAATGAGTGCTTGCTTGAGCATAGCCCTTCTGCAGCTGACCTTCCCAATGTGTCGGGACATCTCTTCTCTTACCCCAAAGTGCTGTGCATTATTTTCAGGGGCAGATAATAGCCCTGATCTGTCATGTCCTACTGTACACTTTAAATATAAACTGTGGCAGAGAGAAGTGGCCAATACATGGGAGCAGTGGGTCTTTTCCTCAACCTAAGATAAGACAGCGTATGAAACAGATTGGAACCAAGGTGGGATGAAGGGGATGTGCAAGGGTCCATGCACTGTTGTTCCCTTCAATTTGTCATAAGTCAGATTGTAATTACAGTATCCTCTTTGCTCCCTATGTAAAGAGTTTAGGCAGGTACCGGTCTCTAGACCAGATGCAGCTTTGGCTGAGTGTGAGAGACCTTTTAGCTAGCCAGGCTTTGAGTCCTGAATGCTATATGAAAATGGACCTTTTAGGCTAAATTTTGTCATACTTAAAGTGAAACTTGTCTCTCACATCTGTCTAACAATGTGTGTTTTTTTTCTACCCTGGGAGCAGTGGAGTGAAGTGCAGCAGATGATAAATGGTACCCCGGTCTATATGTACCAGGACTGCAGTGTGCTTTCCGAGGGTGACACGGATCACTGGCTTCGCACCAACTGGATTTATCGGGGTGAGGCAGCCTCCCGCATTTACGTGGAGCTGAAGTTTACTGTGAGGGACTGCAAGAGCTTCAAAGGTGAAGTGGTGACCTGCAAAGAGACCTTCAATCTCTATTACATGGAGTCTGAACAAGATGTTGGGATCCAGTTCCGCCGCCCGCTGTTCATCAAGGTCTGTAGTGCTGGGGGTAAAGACTGAGTCATATCATTCTGTGTAAATTAGTCATATCTTTCAGCTTAAACTAGGTGTGTCTTGCTGGCTGGAGGAGGCCAAGAGAACCAGAATCTGGGGAGGGGCATGGGTAGTAAGCTTGTCCTTAGAATAAACTTTGCTCCCAATGCCCTCTGTGATGCTCAGAGCAGTCTTTGCCACAGGAAGCACAGGAGTTTCCAAATGAGATCAGCCCTCCATTCTGTGTAAGCACTTACTTAACTGGACACCACATAGGTAAGGATTCTGAAGGGTTATAACAGTGCTAGATGTTTATTACTTTTTAGAAGTAATAAAGCAGAGACCAAAAGAATTTGACTTGCCTTAGGTAACAAATCAAGATTAGATCAAGTGAAGAACAGAATCCAGTTCAGGTCTCTCTGATTGTTTTGAGATCATTTACTCTGATTGTTATGAGATACAGGGTCTTTTTTTTCTAAAACTGAAGGTGATGACTCACTATAATTAAATTCTCCCTTGTGTGAAAGTATTTAGCACCGCTATATTTTAACTGCTGTTTCCCCCAACATAGTGCCCTTTTGCCATGGAAACACTCGAATTGCAGAATGGGGAACCTCAGGTTTTTTGTAAAGGAACTTCAGTAACCCAGTTCTGCCCTAAAAGAAGCCACAGACCTAAATTATTTTACTGCCCTTTCCTCTGCAGTTTAAGTGGCATGTGATAAAAACAAAGAACGGTACAGGCCACCACAGGCCAAGCAGGACTCTGGTAATGGATTCCCCTCCCTCCCCAGTGCTCCTCCACCTCCCCTGCAGGTGGCACCTACCAGGTGAATTTGTGCAATACCTCCACAACTCCTAAAGCTGCCTTAAGATCCCACTGCCAGTTGCAGCTTTGGTGCAGATCATTTCATCCGCCATCCCACTACACAGAGTGGGTGGTGTCATGTAATGGGAGGGGGGGGAGCCTGCGGTGGAGAGGATCAGTTATCAGGCTCTCCCTCTGAGAAGAAAGGACACCCCACCTGCAGTCCAGCTTTTCCATATCACACAATGTCACAGAGGCCTTTCCCATTTGCCGAGGCCTTGAAAGCATCTCCCTCTCTCTCTCTCATCCTTTGTTTGCTGAGGCAGTGGGCATGTAAAAGTGTGGAAACATTTCTCACCTGAGTACCTACAGTGCTGAAATATGTTGAGTGCTGCATGAGAATCACCTTGCTGTAGATGATCTGATCTGCATCGAGTTCAGCCTAGAAACAGGTGGCTGTAATTCAGTGGTCAAATTAAAAGCACTGTTGTGATTTTGCTGCATGCAATTCGCAAACAAAGAATATCACAGAAGAGAGATTTGCTCCTTTAGGGGCAGTTCCTAAAGACCTCTGAGATCAGAGACCCAGACATAGTGTACTATGTAAGACCAGTGAATGACTGCCAAGGAGTTGAAAGGACATGCTGGAAAGTATGGAGGCAAGAAAAGATGCAGATCCAGTTGTTAATGCTTCCTCCATGTGCAAAGCAAGCATGCAGTGCACTGGCATTAGAAACAGTCTCTAAAAGGCCTTAGTGTAAAAGAAGTTTGAGAGGCATGGGTATCTCAGCTGCTGCTGCCTGCTCAGATGTTAACACTGTTGTCTTTTTCACTTAGCTCAACACTGTGGCAGCAGATCGAAGTTTCACAAGCAGAGACATCGAATCGGGAGCCATGCAGCTGAACACAGAAGTGTGCCCCATTGGGAAGCTGTCTCGCCGGGGCTTCTACTTGGCTTTCCAGAACTCTGGGGCTTGTGTAGCGATGGTGTCTGTCCGAGTGTATTACAAGACTTGCCCAGAGGCAGTGCGCGGCCTGGCCCGTTTTCCAGAGACACTAGCAGGCTCAGAGGGGCTGACAGAAGTGCCCGGGGTCTGTGTGGAGTATGCAGCTGAAGAAGCAGGCTCTCCCCCCAGGATGCACTGCAGCACTGACGGGGAGTGGCTGGTACCCATGGGCCGATGCCTCTGTGCTGTGGGGTTTGAGGAAGTCGATGGGAGCTGCGTAGGTGAGTATGCAGACAGACACTGGCTGTAGGCCATGGGAGAGGTTCCAGGGAGCTAGAGATCAGAGCATCTATAAGCATAAAGTGGGATTAGGGGAGTTAGTGTGGTCTACCTCTCTCCTGCCTGCCCTCTGTGCCTGCCAGGTGCCTTTCCTCCCCTCCTTAGCTTCTCTTTTTCAACTGTGATTTTTTTCTCCTTGTGTGTCAGGTGTAAGACCTGCACACACCTCTCCACTCCCTCTTGGGATTCATCCAGGAGCCTTCAGCTCTGGAGCTAGTTTCTGTGAGCTGTAACTGTGTGATTGACACTGACTCACTCAATAACTGGTTCCCAACCCTTAAATGGCAGCCTTGCTCTCTCAGGGCAGACGGGTCAGACACATGGAACAGCGTATTTGTCCCGTGACTAGAAAGCTGAGAGCCGGAGGGGGGCAAGTTTCTTCTCTGTGTCCCCTTCTGCTTGGACTGGGATGGGTCTTCTGCCATGGGAAACCACGTAAAGCACATTGCACAATACCGTCAGTACCTAGCTCATTTCTGAGGAAGAGCAATTAGCAGGCATAGGAGTCACCAGGGGACTGGAGCCACAGAGCAAGCCAGGGTTGTTGGAGCAAGCGGTGCAGGGGTCTGCCACAGAAGGGACAAGATCCAGCTTCTTAGGGCAACTTTGTGTTTGTCAGCAGAGACGATATGTATGGTGTTTTGGGGAATGTGTGTTACTCCAGGGAGGGAGGTAAAAGATAGCACATCTCTGTTGTTGTTGTCAGAGCCATACGGCACAAAGCTAAGGCATATTGAAAAAGGAATCCATGCACTGCTTTCAGGGTCAGCGGGTGCCCTGTCTCTCTGCTTTGTTCTGCCTTTGCTCCACTACAAGGATCTGGTGCCTCTATGAAGCTCTATTGCTGGCTGCTCATTTTGCTTGGGGAGCTGGTGAGGGCTGAAGCACAAGATCCCTTCCCTTCTCCAGCAATCCCCTCTCCTTGCATAGCTCAGCCAGTTTTTCCACTTAGGTGCTACAGAGCTCTCCCCGCCCTCCTGAGAGCACTCCCTTGGGAAGGGGCAGGGAAGCTGTCATGTCTGGACAAGCCCTGACTGCTATCACAGCACAGGTTCATTCTACATCTGCGCTTTTATCCCACTCCGCCCAAGTACAGCTGCAGCCAGAAGTGTCATTTGTAGAATCACTAGGGACTGGGGAGGTCTCACAGGGGAGGAAGGAAGAGGGGAGAACCTAGCAGGGGTAGAGAGAGGTACTTTGTGTTCAGAGTGGTGTATTACTGGAGGATCAGAGGAGAAGGTGAATGTAGGTTGCCAGCTGGGGGTTATCTTGGGGTCCTCTCCCTCAAGAGAAAAGACCAGGTATTGTGCAAAGAACCGTGAGCAATCCAGTTCAGGATAAAGACTGAGGTCACAGTTTCTACTTTGTCCTCGGAAGATGAAGGACTTCTCCTTCAAACATGTAAACGGCAACAGGATGGAGGAAGACCTTCTGGCAGTGTCTTCTGCTTCTGAGTTCTGCCTTAAGTTAGGAACCAAAAAAAAAGGAAAGCTGAACTATGGCCCTTGCCTCAGAACAGGGAGGAAAACCTGACCCCTTACAGTTGTGACAGGAGGCAACAGGAAGCCAGAAGCTGAGGTTCTGAACTAGTTCACTCAACCTCTCAGTGAGTTCCCAGCCATATAAAGCTTTGCTGGGTACATAATGGCTCAGCCATCCTGTGATCCCACAAAAACTGTGCCTGCCCAGAGCATTTCATCTCAGCTGCTCATACCATTGCAGACTTTGCTGCCGATAAACCCAGAGCTCCGTGATTAACTTCCTCAAGTCTGTAATTTACTGTGAACACAAAGGCTGGCTGTGCCCCTGGCCTATGTGCTGGTTCCTTGATGGGCTCTGCAGGGTTGCGGGCGAGCTGAGCTCCCTGTCAGCTCAGGTCAGGCATCTGCAGGCTGCCCAGCGCTTGCTGGCAGTCTCCCCATCCGCACCTGTAGGAATGGAGGGAGGGCCCCAGCCATCCTCTCTGCCCTCCGGTGCCTGGCGAGCAGTGCTGAGCAGGCCCTTTCCCAGACCTGTTTTTCCCATCTTGTCGCCTGGAGCGGGTGCCCGAGGGCCGAGGAAACCAGGTGCCAGGGGCCAGAGGGGCTGGGCGGGAGCCGAGGC